GAATTTGTGCAACGCATTTTATGGACGACAGTTTTTTGAACCTAGAAGAGTCCAAGGCTGGCTGTGCACAAAGGCTATTTCTACCCCAAAAAAAAAAAAAAAAAAAAGAGTCAGATATTCAGCGATTAGGTTTTCTGGGGTTTAAGAAAAATTTACGTAAAAAATGGGAGAACTGAGGAAAGCGCACATCAGAAAAATAACAATATATAAGTTTTAAAAAATGGGTATAGAAAAGAATCACACCCCTTAAAATAATCACATTTTGTTGCTTTGCAGCCTGAAATGAAGACGGACACAGTTTTTGTTTTATCCAGCTGCATTTACTCAGTGCAACTTATAACATCCAAGTGAAAGATAAAACACCAACATGTCAGAAAAAAAAAACAGAATCACTGAGTTGAAAAAAGGATCAGCCCCTCCTAAAAATGACTTGTAAACTCAATCAGATGTAGCTTATCACCTTCTCAATGGCACACAAAGCCATTTGACTTTCAACACACAGTGGTTGATGGAGAAAAAGGTGAATGTCCTTGCATGGCCTAGTCAGAGCCCAGACTTAAACCCAACTGAAAATCTGTGGAATGACTTGAAGACTGTAGTCCACAAACGCTCACCATCAAATTAAACTGAACTTGAGCAGTTCTGCAAAGAAGAGTGGGCAAATATTGCAAAGTCTAGATGTGCAAAGTTAGTAGAGAGAAATCCCAACAGACTAAAGGCTATAATAAAAGCAAAAGGTGGTTCAACAAAATACTGACACAAGGGGGTGATCCTTTATCCAACTCGGTGATTCTGTTTTTTTATTATTATTTTTTTCCTGACATGTTGGCGTTATATCTTTCACTTGGATGTTATAAGTTGCACTGAATAAATACAGATGGATAATACAAAAACGGTCCGTCTTTATTTCAGGCTACAAAGCAACAAAATGTGATTATTTTAAAACGGGGTGATTCTTTTCTATACCCACTGCATACGTCAAATCAGTTCTGTTGTGTTGCTGGTTAACCGATTTGCATTTTACATAAGCCGGTTTTTGATAGTAGTCTGTGATTTGTTGCACATGTAAACACACTCACACCAACTATACATATAGGTTGTCTGATTTTATACTGTGTTTAATGTAAATCACCTGAACCCGGGCCCTGACGATATCCATGGGGTTGGTGACAGTGGAGGCAGTGGCAGCTGCCAGAGGTCCAGCCATTGCCTGCAGCACTAGATGTGGGCAGTTACTGGGAGCCATCTTAGACAACTGTTCTGTGAAGCCAATAAGAGCAAATGAAATTTCAGCTTCTTCAGAATCAACTGACATTATATCAGTCTCTAATGAGATGGATATATTGCCAACCAAGATGACTTCTGTCCATGTGACTCTGAACAGTATCAGAAAACATCAACATTCAAAGTACATAAAACTGCCATTGCCAAATACATACACAATCTGCGACTACTTTGATCAAATTAATTGAAATGTTAAAGTACCTTTCAAAAGTTTGCTTGGTTTTTGAATAAGCTCTCTTATGCTCACCAAGGCTGCATTTGTTTGATCAAAAATATAGCCAAAACAGTAATATTGTGAAATATTATTATAATTGATGATCCTTCAGAAATCATTCTAATATACTGTTATCTTCATAATATGTTCATTTATCAAAAATAAAGGTGATGCTGATGGTCAGTACAACATCTCTTACCTGCATAGAAGTGGTAAAACGGCCACCAAACGGCACTGTTGGGGATGTATGTGAGAAGAGACGCCACATATCCTCGATAGAAGCCACGAATGCCATCCACAGCAAATATCTGCCGTGAGTAAATGCTGACAGAATTTTCATTTTGGGGGGTTCATTTTTGTCCCTCGTTTCTGATACAAGCTGTAGTAGTTTGCACTATTAGTTCCTGAAACATCTAGTGAGTGCATTGGTTCATTATAAAGTCACATTGCTAGTGTCGTTTATTAGCTTTCAGTCTACATGCCTGAGCTAACTGCCGCTGGATCTCTGTAACTTACACTGGTGCTAACACTATCTATGTAACATAATACTGCCGTCTCTCATCGTGTTCAGATAAACACTGTCCGGGTCGACGACTCAGAGAGTGCAGCTGCTTTTTAGATGCACACAGTGTCAGTCTGCCAGGAGCCTGCTCGCTGTAATAGCACTGTATGTAAGTTAGCGGCTAGCGTTAGTTAGCACAGCTCTCATGCGGCTGAATGGACAGCCGGGCTCCGCTTTATCATCTATTATCTAAGCTCGGTTACTTTTGAGCAACAGCAGGAAACGTCTTACCGTGCAGCAGAAATGATTCAGTGATTTGACATATTTAAGTTGACATTGGTGTGTTTGTGGTTTGTTCAGCACAGGACAGTCACACTAGCTACAGCCGCTCCCTCACAGGGTACGGAACAACATGGGAGGGATCGTTGGCAATGGTGATGACGCAGTCCGCGTCACTCAACTGAACCGACCAATCACAGCTCTCTGATCAGACTTTCCATTAAAGGTTAAAGTTCATATACAGGGGTGTTAGAAATACTCAGAGCCGTCTCTCTACGGCTCTGGAAATACTGTAGGTGTCACATGTTATTGATTTATTTTATTTTTATAAAAGCTTATGTTTGTGAGCGCGTATGTATGTATGTATTTTTGATCAAAGTATTGACATTCAGTTTGCTTTCTTTTACTTTATTTCCTCATGGTTTTGTGACAATTTTTGGAGATTCAAAAGACTGACATGATTTTGTGAGAAGTTTCAAATAATTAAAATAAATAAATAAGTACAAAGATGGAAAACTTATGCTCCTCTGTCAAAATACTAAGATTTCAATTGTTTCTTCTTTTTGTTTTGGTTTTTTTTTAGTACGAAAGTTGGTATATTCCGTCTTGCATGTTAATGTGCAAAATGTGTAATAAAATAAAATAAAGTAGTTTACCACTTCCTTTGAAATAAATTCTTCGTACACATACCTTTCCATAATGTGGTCAGCAAATATGAATCAATGTTCCTGTTGTTATATCACCAAAACACTGCAGATATTGTTGCTAGAGTGGAAATTCATTAACAATTCATAGCTCTTGATGAGGAGTAAATTGTGCTTAATTAAATTTACAGTATGCTCAATTATTAAACTTGGCTTTGTATTTTTTTATTATTTTATTATGTATTTTTATTATTTGTAGTTGTACTGAGATCATGTCAATTACTGATTCATAAAGTGCAATACAAGTTCACATTACAGCAAGCGAGTGTTGCTATAATTCAGATTACATATATTTTTGCCATAAAAAGTGTTGGATAAAACTCATCCACCGAGAACAAAACAATCATTGTAACTTGCTATATCTATATCTAAACAGTGTGATGTTAACCTTACTGATAATTAAAAGAAACACACCAATATATATGTGTGTGTGTGTTTCTTTTAATTATCAGTAAGGTTAACATCACTCTGTTTTTTTTTTCAGTTACTAAGTTGTCTGTACCCTGAATGCCCCTCTACATTGTTAGTTTTGAACAATAACTACTGTTTACTTATTTTGCATTTAGTGGACCTAGCAACAGTCTATAGAACTCTTTGTATTTTGAAGGCCTTGTAGTCATTCTTCTGATGTGTGAGTTTGTTGTATAGTGTAGACCATAAGACGCAAATCTCCTGCAATGGATGCTATTAGATGATCTTGTTTTACAAGCTCAAAGCCAAGGTAGCAGAATGTTCTGGTGAGGAGCACTGTGGAAGAGAAAAGAAAAAGTCACAACTTTTTAAAAATGCATCAGGCTAGATTTTATAGGCTAGAACATTTCTGTCAACACGTCTGGTGAAACGTGAGTAATGATAATGTATTATAGGGGTCCTATTATGCTTTTTCAACTTTTCAACATTTCCCGACCAGGCGCCCGAGTGCTGCCAATCACAGCACACACTGGCCCAGCTAACCAATCACAGCACATTTCATATTTCAGAAGGCGGGCCTTCATTTGATACAGGAACTATTTGAGCCGTTCATGCCAGACTGGGGAGAGAGGTGTTGTAATAATGTAAAATATGTGAAAAATAATGTGTTTTTCGAACAACCTAGTATGAGAGCCTGTTCTAGTACACCCCCAAAACAAAATCAAGACTTTGTAAAGGAGCATAATAGGACCCCTTTAAAAGGCAGCTGACAATGCTGTAATGCAGGGCTGTGCAAACTCGGTCCTGGAGGGCCGGTGTCCTGCAGAGTTTAGCTCCAACTTGCCTCAACACACCTGACTGGAAGTTTCTATGCCTAGTAAGAGCTTGATTAGCTGGTTCAGGTGTGTTTAATTAGGGTTGGAGCTAAACTCTGCAGGACACCGGCCCTCCAGGACCGAGTTTGGACAGCCCTGGTGTAATGTATTGTAATTTTCTGTGACTGTAACTGTAAGACCCAACCCAAAAGTCTTACCATTTCCAGCAAATCAAAACCACTCATCCTGCACTTACATTTATCTGGCCTGTTCTTCATGAACCACACAAACACATGATTAATCTTCAGTTTCTCCTCGGCAAACTCCAAAACAGCAGTGAGCCTTCAGGGGTAAAGAGAATAGAGAAAACTTACTTACTAATTCCCTTTTAAGGAAAGTCAGTTCAATCTGATGCCATATTTGCAATGCCTGCTGGCTATTTTGGACATGCAAGACCAACTCCTATCTTGAATGGGGAAATACTGAGATCTCAAAAAGTGCGTGACAAACTTACATTTCAAAAACATATTTCAAATCAGTAATGAAATCTGACAAACTGTCCCATAAATGTTGTTTCTTATGCTCAAATAGCATTAAAAATGTGTATATTTCAGGACTGTTTTTATGAGAACTGGAGCTTCTAACAGAAGCTGTGGTGATGCAATTGGTGACTAGCTTTTATTTTAGACTTTTATTTAGAAAGCAGAACTTGCTACGCCATATTGAGCATTGCACTTTCTCCCAATCATAGTAATATGAGTGAACCGTGTTGGTACAACTGTTGATACTTCCACCTGCATCTTCAAATGTGTTTGGCTGTGAAGAAGTTGCCCCTTTTGGGATACAGTGAGAGTGCAGAAAGCAGTTACGCAAGACCTTTTAGGCCAGGATTAGAAAGTTCTGAAACATTTATAACCTCTATTAATGTGACAGCAGTGGGGCTTAGTGATCCATTCAGTGTCTTACTACTAAAATAGGTCTTTGGTAAAACTTTATATGAGGTGCTCCTCCCGGCAGTATAATGCAGGGTTATTATAGCTAACTAAAACTATTAAAACTTTTTTTTTTTAAATAAAGCTCAAATAATATAGAATATAAATATTAGATGAAAACCTAAACAAAATGTTGGCTTAAAATCTAAAAATTAATGAAACTGAAAAAAATAAATAAAAATAAAAATAAATTAAACCTAAATAGTAATATAAAAAATAAATATAAAAATGTAAAAATAAAAGCTAGCTCAAAATATGAATAAAAATCATAAACACCATAATAGTATATACAGGCATATACTTGCATAACAGCAGTGTATTGTTTCAGTAAATGTACCAGACGGGATATTAAATATTACATCAGTCCATTTATGGCTTACCCTTCTTTGGTGCCTTTGAGAAGTTCTCCATTTGGTAAACCAACAAAGAGACTACGGCCAGAGAGCACAGTCTGCATAATCCAGGACAACTGCTCACTTAGCTGATACTGAAAGAGCAGAATGGATGATTCGCTGTCCAGTGAGGTCACCTGCTGTTTCACACTTAACTTCCCATCCTGCATGAAAGGATGACACAAAAACTCAATTAGCAAATTACTTTACATTCATCTGTGCTTTCCCATCCAGCCCAATAAAATCATTACAGTTAAAAAAAAGTCACATTCACCTCATAATCCTGGACAGAAGTAGCTGCTTATAGTTTGAACCACTGAAGCATTACATTTATTTGTGCTAAATGGACTGTCTCAGTTAAGATCATATTTTTATATGTGGCTTTAGCAAATACGCATCTACAATGAGAGGTGATGACAGCCTCACCTTATAAAGGAGCACATCTTGAGTCAGATCCCTGCTTGTGCTTTGGCCATCTGTGTTCATCCTCTGTAGATGAGGGGCATCAGGAGCACCACTGAGGCCCTGGAGCCTGCTGCCTGACCCAGCGGAACACACAAGCTGAATCCAGAAGTACAGCTCTGCACAGACACAAGTAGAAATGTGAACTTTGAGATTATGGTCCAATGAAATTCAAGTTGAACCAACAAGGCACAAAATATGGCCAGTGTGACACAAACTCTCATTTGGCTGCATATGGCATATATTTGATTGCATATGGTCTTCATGAATGGTATTATACAGAAACATTAAGTGCATAATTACAATAATTTTTTAATTATATACATTTACAGATACATCAGGGTAGTTCCACTCACAATCATTTGCATTCTAGGGCCTTAACTGTATCCTTTTTTTTTTTTTTACTACACCGTCACGACTCTAAATATGGAACACACGGTTCCTCAGCAATAGCAAAGAAACTAGATGATATTTATTGACTCTGTAAGTTATTGACTCTCAGACTCTGTAAATTAGATATGAATCGATGCGTATTAATCTGAATACCATGTTACAATTTAAATGCCTTTTCCTCGTTGTTGTTTACAGCAGTCCAGCTGCAAAACGTCTTTTCAGTTCCCGTATTTATATAACATCCCAATTCAACGTACAAATAAAACAGAGACATGTGCTTTATTAAGATACAATAACCGAGTCTTATCCATGAGGATGGATCTAGCACGGACGGTTTCTATGAACGCCAAACCATATCGGGAATGTCTCTGAGCTGATGCTCGTGAAGCTCCTGACCTAACCAAGAAAAAAAACACACACGCGACTATTGCTTACCTTGCTTGGGTGTTGATCATTGCGTCTCTTTGCGTTGCTCAGTGTCGTGCGCACTTGTTCGAGTCACGGGTTTACACAGAGGATGTGATGCTGCGTCCTCTCCAGTGGATCGAGTGCTGCTTCATCATTTACTGTTCATTTACTGATTGGAGGAGGGGACTGTGATTCCACCTCTCCTTGTCCTACCATAAACATCTACAAATTACAAAATTGCATAATAAAACAGAACGTGAGTCATTTTATGTTAAATTGACACAATCATGTTTATTTAAAAGTCTACAGAAGGATTGCCATAAAAAGACAAATACAACATATTAAATAAATGATTAATAAGTGGAATTTATAAATGCAGTTTGACCAAAAATTTTCCCTTTACGGTGGGCAACGGTCAATCACTTGTTATTTCATAACATCACCGCTAGATGAAGCAATAATCCTAATATCCCAACCCTGTTCGTGCTGAAATTCATGTTGTTAGTCAGTGATTATTCAGACATGGGAAAATGTTATCATTCGTTTGTAAAATTACCAAATTAAAATGGATAAAACATGAATATTATTAATACAGCATTTTTATTGATCTCTCACTACTAAAACCACAACTCATCAATATACATATAAAATATATATTTATCCTAAGAAAATATAAATAATGTAATGTTTAAAACAATGGCTTGAATGAAGGCAGAGGTTAAAATATACCTTATTTAAATAGCTTCACAGCTATGTCTGTACTTTTTGTCAGCACAGTCAGGAAAAGTCACAGTTTTCACACTGAAGGTCATGGAAAAGACTTTGACATTGAATATTTGTCCCTGATGATGTTGATCCACATTGAGTGATTTTGTCTCAACTGCAACAAAGTATTTAAAAAGAGAGAAATTCTACACTATTCTCAATTCACAATTCTCTAAAAAAGAGTATATTCTACACATATACAACATGTAATACCAATGCTGTCATTATATTGAGAAGGAATCATGTTTGCGTTCACGATAATTTATCCTATATCAAATCCAAAGCTAATAAATGAACCTTCCAAATGGAAATCATCAACAAGTGAACAGCCAATATGCTGGTTGAGGTTTTTTTTT